TTCCGTGGGGTGAGGGTGGGGGCCCCACATGGCCCAGTGGCACCTGGTCTTCCCCAGGTTTAGGCGGAGGCCTGAAGCAGCAGCAACCAGGTGAGCCTGTGAGCCTGCCCTCCCGCCCCATCTTCTCGATTCTACCCCTACCCATCCCCAGACCCGCCTCACTGCTGCTTCCTGCCAGGACCTGGCCACTGGCAACGCTTCTGGGGGAGGGAGTCAGAGAAAGAGCCCAGGGTCCCGGGCACCCCTCCCTACCTCCTGCTCCCAACCGAGGGGCTCATTCCTCTCACTCATCCTGAGTCAGGCCATGGCTGGCACAGCAGACACTCAGGTCTGCCTGAATGGAGCTGATGACTCCCTAGGCTCAGCCCACAGGCCCGAGCCACACCAGCCCAGTGCCATCTCAAGGACTGTGGTCAGGACTGTGGTCAGGACTGTCGGGGCGGGGCAGCCCTGGGAGCTGGAAAGTGAGAAGGCAGATCCTGAGGCTGGAAGGGAGCTGGAGGCCTGGGGCTTGAAGCAGAGCGAGAACCCAGCTCCTGGAGGCTGGTGTTTCCAGGGCTGGACTCCCTGGACGGCTGGCCTCGAAGGAAGACCCTGCGGAGTTTACCACCTGGGTCTCCTGGGCCAGACCCGGAGGGGGGCTGTGGGGTGGGGCCTGGGACTGGGGCTCCTCACAGCCTCAGTCCCCCTAGTCCCTCCCTGACACAGGACACAGCCCCCATAGTCACCTACCCCCTTTGCGAATCTAGCCAGGCTGAGTGGAGGGGAGGGCAGGGGTGCGCAGGGCAGGGGAGGGGAGGCTGGGGGCCATTGCCCTGCCAGCAGCACCCAGCTTTCCTGTGTCATTCACCCCCACCCCCACCCCCCCAGGTGGCGCAGCACAGAATGGCTTTGGACCAGGTAGAGCAGGGACCGCTGGGGCACGAGGGCAGAAGCTGTTTCTGGGGCAGGCCCAGGGGTGGGGTTTCTGGGTCCCTCACCTGCTCATGTCTTCCCCAGGCTATGGAGGGAACGGAAAGCCCCAGAAGCCAGGTGAGCCCCACTCTGTGTAACGGCTCCTTATCTGTCTGCTCCACCCACGCCCCCGATCCCTCCTCACTCCCTCCTGCTGTCTCCCCAGGATTCGGGAACGGGGCCCTCCCGGGAGCAGGAGCCCAGCCAGGCAAGGCCCCGGGGCTCAGGAGCAGGGGTGTAGCCGAGGGGGACGTGGTGTGGGTGCCTGACCCTGGTTCCGGGGGAGAGGAGGAGGGAGGTGGACTCAGACTCATGGGCAGTGCCTTCTCTCCTCAGGTCTCGGAGGACTGAAACCTCAGAAGCCAGGTGAGACCCGCCCTCCGCCTCTCCCACTTGGTTTCCCACGAGAAACACTCATTGAACAAACATCCAGGGGGCGGCCAAGTGCTGGAGACAGGCCCTCCCAGCGCCGGGGGCACGTGGGCAGGCAGAGGCAGACAGGAGAGGAGTGCGAAGGCAACCTGGGGGCCGGAATGCCCACTAGAGGGCGTGGCCCGCTGATAAATGAGGACCAGGGAGGGGGCGGGCACGGGAAAAGGCTGGGAGGCCCCGTGGGGCAGGGGCAATGCTGATGGCACCTGGCTGGGGAGGAGAAGGAGGCCTCAGGTTCACCCTGCTGGCTAGTAGACGTGGTGGCTGCCAGTGACGCCTACCCAGATGGACCAGACAGCTGGGTATGACATTCAGGCTCTAGAGGCTAGGACCCAGTTGGGGGTGTCCAGGTCTGGGGTGAGAGCGAAAGGGGCCAGGCCTAGGGTAGAGCCTCAGAGAGACACCAGTAGCCAGAGCCCCCTCTCTCCTTCCACCAGGCCCTGCAGCTCAAAACGGCTATGGACCAGGTAGGTGCCCCCTAGGGCTCCGGGGAGGCACAGACATGAGACTCCGATCCCTCACTGCTCCCTAACTTTCCACCAGGCTTTGGCGCAGCTATGAAACCCCAGAAGCCAGGTGAGCCTCACCCCTGTCTTTTCTCTCCACCTCCCCCAAACCCTGAGCTCCTGCTTCAGGAGTGAAGGGTGTCAGGGCCCCAAGGACCATGGGGAGAGAAGTGAGAGGCAAGACCAGGGGACCCCAGGGCTGGCCTCAGCCCCTCAGCCCACAGCCAGCTTTATGGTTCCCCCACCTTCTCCCCACAGGCCCTGCAGCTCAGAATGGCTATGGACCAGGTAGGGATGGGCCGGGGCTCTGGAGAGGCCCAGGGATGGGGCCTGGGGTCCTCACCTGCTCCCTGATTCTCCACCAGGCTTTGGAGCGGCTATGAAACCCCAGAAGCCAGGTGAGCCTCACCCCAGCCTTTTCTCTCCGC